AAACAAAAGTGCACCTTGACTTAGTGTGATCGTCTTACATGCTTTTTGGCCTAGTATTCCAGTTTCTAATCTGTATGTATGATAATTAACTTCATAAGGTCTTATAAGGTAAATAAATGAATCCGATACTGGCAAAATAAAAGAGGAATGGAGGAAAGGGGAAAAAAGAATTTAAATGTGCAGGTGTTATGTGCACATACCAATTCTCTACAGTGAATGTAATCATTATGGACTGCAAATATGTACTAATGAAAGTTTTTATAAAGGTAAGTAAATGAAACAACTGCTTTTCAGCATTAAACTAAAAGCATGCTTTATGAAAGAAAAGAAAGTGAGGCCTGGGACAGACCCAGTTTTTTCACGGAAAATACTTTGGCTCTTGAGCAGGACAGAAGGGTAGGAAGGAAGAATTTCAAGTAGAGATAGTTACCTTCCTGAGTTGAGGAGATGGAGGTCAGACTTGGAGTGTGTGAAAGGCAGAAATTGAGTCAGTTTTCTTAAGACAGGACAGCTCTACAGAAAAGGACATACTTATTTACGGAACTTTGTCTAGGGATAACCCTTACATCTATGCTCAGCCCTAAAACGGGCATGCACAGTGCAATATTCCACAGGAGTGGTAGACAAGGTGCTGGAAAGCTGTGAACTGAATGTTTTAAGACCCACAAAGCACTGAGTTCCTACCAGCAACAGAGGAGAACACATATTAACTCCTGGGAGCATTAAGTATGGACACCAGTAAAACCGGATCTCTGTAACAGGCATAAATGATCTCTGGAGTGAAGACTGACTTGGAACAGCCTAGTATACTTCTAAAAACAAGATATCAGGCTAAAATAACCTAGATGCCTATCAAGGGAAACACTTTTATAAAAACAGAACTCCCACAATCACGAAATGAAACATATGTAGCATCCACTCATGAGAACCTAGCAACTCTTTTTTTTTTTTGGTCTTTTTTGAGACAGGGTCTCGCTCTGCAGTTCAGGCTGGCTTTGAGCTCACTTTGTAGCCCTGGCTGGCCTCGAACTCGCAAGGATCCTCCTGTTTCAGCCTCCAGAGTGCTGGGATTACAGGTGTGTGCCACCATGCCCAGCTGAGAACCTAGCAACTCTTAAGAATTTAAAAAATTATATGCAATGATCAACAGAAAAATGAAAGACATAAAAATGAATCAAATAAAACTTGTAAGTATGAAAATTGTAGTATTTAACTTCTTAAAAAAATATTGGATGGATATTACAGGTGATAAGAGAACACATATGTACATTTGAAGATATAGTATTAGAGAATATCTAAAATGTAGTATATTGAGAAAATTCTGAAACATAAACTAAACAGAGCCATTTAACATACATATGTCTTTCTCAAGCCACACAAGAACAGGAAAATATTAAAAATGATAGCCAACATTTTCTAAATCTGATAAAAATGGTAATTTCACAGATAGATCAAAGAATCTCAACAAATCTCAAGCAGAATAAGTGCACAGGAAACCACACCAGATACATAATAATTAAATTACTTAAAACCAGCATAAAGAGAAAAATTCAGAGAGCTATTAGTCATTGGAAAAGGGCTCACATTAAGGCAGAGAAAAATGAGAAACAACAGTCAAAGAAATATTACAACTATAAAATAAATAACAGCAGAAAATGTTTCCTTTGGCTTTTTATTTAGAAGTTTGAATAAAGCTAAAGTGCTTGTGAAAGCTACTGTAAAATAAAAGTTAAACTGTAAATTATTGTCACCCCATAGAACTTTGCTGATGATGGAAACATTCTATATTATCACTACACAAATGAGATATTTCATAACCACACCGACCATTGACTACTTGAATAGTGTTTGCTAGAGGAAGCAATTTTTTATTTTGCTTAATTAAAATAAGCCCTCAATCTGATAGGTGTCTCTACTTAAAAAAGGCTAACAGGGTTCTGGCTCTCGGAACATCTCGTAAATCAGAAAAAAATCTCTCATCATTTGTGTTTAATGCATAACCAGGGATTATGCTTTGGGGACTGAAAGCTCAATGAAAGATACGATGGCACTGGTTATATCTCAACACGACAAATAAAAAGTTTATCTGAGCTGCCATATGAGAACTAATTCAAAAGATTAAGCTTTCCAATTCTGAAAACAGTGAAGATGCTACATCCTCTCTAAAATCATAAAGAACATATTTATAATAAATAAATCATTTATTTCATTCATAATAAATGCAATCATTTCTCATTCGTGTTGAAGTAAGGTGTCTATCCTTGAATCCCAACAGGATGCGCCAATTATTAATTAAAAGCAGCTCCGAAATGTATGTTAGAGAAAGCGCTTTTGGAGAAGATAAAATTAACAGACCATAAATTCCACCTTTTGCTCTCAGATGGAGGGGTCTTGAACTTCCAATATAAATTTTAGAGTTACAGTCAAAACACTCATTGAATAAACAGCCAATAACAATAATAAATAACCAAGTATTCAAGAGAGTCAGCCAACAATATTAATATATGTAATACACAGGAACTCAAGGAAAAGCTAAAAGCATACTAAAAGATGAAAATGAATAAACTGTAACTTAAAACTTATCTACAGAAGTCTAGAAATATATGCCAAAGAATATTACAAGGTGAAACATCAATTGTTAGAAAATATGAAAATTAAAGTTGTAATTTCTGAAAAAATAAGGTCATCTTAAACAGAGAAAACTTCTTAAAGTAGGTAATATTTTAATTAATCATCAAAAGATGTAAGAATTCAAAGGGGTATGGTTAATTTCTCATAATATACAAGAGATAGTTGTTTTCCAAATATTTTAAAACTCATCTACATGTACTACAATAATTTCTTCATTAAGCACATTAGTACAAAGTTACTAATATTCATAATTAGCAAAAGAGGAAAGCAAAAGTGAAATAAACTATTTTTTAAAACTGAAAAATAACTTATAAAACTGTTTTATCAAAAATCCTATCTCCAAATTGTAATGAAGATGTCATCATAGTATATTTGGTGATAACCATATTATTCATAATTATATATATCACAATTGTTGTAAAAATTCAAGCCTTTTTTTTTTTTGAGACAGGGTCTCACTATGTAGTAAAGCTGGCTTTCAACTCATGTAGCCCAGGCTGGCCTTAACCTCACATGATCCTACTGCTGTAGCCTCCCAAATGGTGGGATTACAGGCCTGTGTTACCACACCTAGTTCAAACTGCATTTTGAAAGAAACAAAATATAATATT